ATTATTCGCCTTTTATTTCTTTCCCCCATATTTCAGCGCTACCATTAGGGCTCGATGTCCATATATCATTATCTGCTTTTATTTATCTGGAAATTTGGTGGTCCAGAGTTACGCGATATGGAGGCTGGCGCACTTTGCCAATTTGTTATTACAATTTACACGACGCGATGGCGGAATACAAATTTCATTACATCTATATATATTATCAATTCCCGTGGCCTCGCTCACTCAGAATCGTCTTGTACTTTCTCCTCTCCAGAGACCCATGACTTCACCGGTCTCCCTTGTCCAATCTCGGACACCATCCACCAAGGCCTTGGCCATTCCCTTGTTCTTGGACTTGCTACCAGAGGGACCGAGTCCAGCGGGTTTGGCATGTTCCCCGGTGACGTATTCGGAGCCCATGCTTGGCAACACGTTTTCCCCCGCGCTCAAACTAACAAACAGGGCGAATGGAACAAGCCAAATGCACAGCCCAAAGTATGAGGCCACTTCAGAGAAAGAGGGCATCTCATCGTAATTGACTCCATACGGTTGACGCCAGTTGTTCGACGGAGGCAAGGGCTTCGAGAAGTGGCGGAACCATAGCCAGTGGTTGAGACCAACTAGAAGGCAGGATAGAAGGAAAAGAGGATCGGATAGTTTCACGATGGGGAATCGGCGCAGATTGCTAGCGTAGACCATGTGCGAACCAATGCTGAGCAGAGATAGTGACACGGGGAAACGGTCAAATATCATAAGCAGAACTTGTATCGCGACGATGCCGTAGATCAAACGGGTCAACAGACGGCGGGCGATAACCGTGTGTTCTTCCACGAGCTCGGATAGATAGTAGAGTCCCGAAGCTGGAGTTTCCAAGTCAGCTTTTGCCCATTCATGTCAGGACTCCATGTCCCATACCTATAGCCAAGGTGAGAAACGCAAACCCGACAACCACCCCGAAATATCCGACTAGCGGTAAAATCCACATGACGCGCAGTGTATACAAAGCTGTCGAGCGGTGATAGTGTTGAAAAGTAAGGCGGGAGGCAATCAGCCCCAGAGAGAGAGATTCGAGATGCAATCGGAGAAACGTGGACGGTTTTGGGGTACGGATGCCTCAGGCAGCGCCACCAAAAATAATTTAATGAATTTCTGAACTTCAACTCGCAACGCAACTTGCACATTCAATACCACACACCATGTCGCGCCCTGAAGATACCCTGTATGACCGCATGACTCTGCTGCATATATCATGAAGAAGGAAAAAAAACTAACATCGCATCTCGAAAACTACAGCCCTCCGGACCTGTTCTACAATGACAATGAATCTCGAAAGTATACAAAGTCGTCGCGAATTCGCAACATCCAAGCCAGCATGACCAGTCGCGCACTGGAACTCCTCGACCTAAAATCGCCATCCTTCATCCTCGATCTCGGCTGCGGCTCCGGACTCTCCGGCGAAATGCTCTCCGAAGTCGAGCCCGAAGACGGCGGCCCGCACACATGGGTCGGCATGGATATTTCACCCAGCATGTTGGACGTGGCTTTACAACGCGAAGTAGAAGGCGATCTATTCCTCGCGGATATCGGTCAGGGAGTTCCCTTCCGGCCGGGCACATTCGACGCCGCAATCAGCATCAGTGCGATCCAGTGGCTGTGCAATGCGGAAACCAGCGATGTCACTGCTGAAGGTCGACTGCGACGCTTCTTCGAAGGTCTGTACGCTAGTCTTCGTCGGGGTGGACGTGCGGTGTGTCAGTTCTACCCGAAGAATGATGTCCAGCGGAGTATGATCAGTGGGGCTGCAATCAAAGCTGGCTTTGGTGCGGGTATCCTTGAAGATGACCCCGGGACTAAGAGCAGCAAGTTGTACCTGGTTCTGACTGTTGGTGGCGGCGGTCTGCCCGGTGATATTACGGGGGTTGTGAATGGCATGGATGATGTCAATATCTTGGATGCTCGGCGGAAGGCTACGGAGATCAATAATGCCCGTGGACCTCCGAGGAAGGGAGACAAGGCTTGGATTATGAACAAAAAGGAGCAGATGGCGAAGAAGGGCAAGGTCGTCAAGGCTAGCTCGAAATACACCGGCCGCAAACGACGAATCGCTTTCTGATCGGACTGCTTTGTTTACGGGCACCGATGTTCGTCTTTGTCGGATCCAATCAAAAAGAGAAACGAAAAAAAGGAGAAAAGGAGAAAAAGCCCGGATGAAAGGAGTCTTCAAGTCATTCTCCCGAAGTATATAGCTTTCACCCATTCTGTCTGTGTATGCGCATTCCTTTGGGCGTTATTCGGATTGTCTTGCCGGGAAGCCCATAGGGTACCTACAAGTTCGACTCGGGTTAAATTAGTCGATCGTGAGGTGCCTGCTAGAGGCCTCGCAATGGGTTGGAGGCTTGGAGGATGAGCTCTCTACCTTCTGGCCACGATATGAGACTGGCCTATTGAAGAAGATTCACGATGTTTATACCCAATTAATAATGCAATGAATGTCCTCGTTATGAACAAAAGAAAAATAGTCTATTGCTATAACTTGCGAGGGAACGTGTCGAGCTAAATTGAAAGGAAAGATAATACATCAAGTGAAGACGACACCGACCAATTCACGGTGTGCAGAGCACAATGCAAGAATCAGCAAGCAACATCCTCAATCGTAGCGGTAGGTATATTGGAGTGAGGGGGGTTCCAAAATTTACAGAGCCGCCTCCATCTTGTCCAAAACAGCCCGGGTGAACTCGTGAGTGGTAGCACGACCACCCATGTCGCGGGTCATAACGTTGCTAAAAGAAGGAAGTCAGCATTGTCATTTTTCATAACGGTATTGGCGTTCACTCACCCTTCACCGATAACATCGTAGACAGCCTTGGAAATGCGGTTGGCGTGGTCATCGAGACCGAGGTGGCGCAGGAGCATGGAGCCGGACAGGATCATGGCACTGGGGTTGGCCTGGTCCTTGCCCTTGATGTCAAGGCCGACGTGACGGCAGCCGGGCTCGAAGACAGCAACGTCACGACCCATGCTGCAACCGGGGACAACACCGGGTCCACCAACGAGGGCAGCGCCAACGTTGGACAGAATGCCACCGTAAAGGTTGGGCATGACCAAAACGTCGAACTGCTGGGGACGGGACACAGCCTGCATGGAAGCGTTGTCCACAATCATGTCGTTCACCTCCAGGGTGGGGTAGTCCTCGGCGACCTTGTGGAATGTGCTGCGGAAGAGACCATCGGCCAACTTCATGATGTTGGCCTTGTGGATGCAGGTAACCTTCTTGCGGTTGTTGGCAAGGGCGAAGCTGAAGGCGAACTTGGCGATACGCTCAGACTTGGCGCGAGTGATGATCTTCAAGGACTCGACAACTCCGTTGACGGACTGGTGCTCGAGGCCGGAGTACTCACCCTCGGTGTTCTCACGGATGATGCAGAGGTCGACGTTCTTGTGGCGGGTCTCGTAACCGGGGATGTTCTTGATCAGAGAGATGGAGGCGTAGATGTCCAACTCCTGACGCAGGGCAACGTTGAAGGACTGGTGGCCCGAGCGCTCAATGGGAGTGTGGAGAATACCCTTTAGGCCGAGCTTGTTGCGCTTGAGGGAAGCCAGGGACTCGCGGAAGAGCTCCTCGGAGTGCTTGTTACCGGCATCGACACCGCTAACGTCGACCTGCTCCCACTCAATGGGAACGTTGTCAGCCTTGAAGATGGTTTTGACTGATTCGGCAACCTCAGCACCGATACCGTCACCTTGTCGAGTGTTAGTTCAAGAGCGTGCGCCATGACAGCGGAGAAGGCGCAAAACATGTGAAGCATACCAGGGATGAGGGTCACGGTGTACTTGCCACCGTACTTGGTGGGCTTGAAGATATCCGACTGAACACTAGCGAAGGCTGGGTAAATGGGTTAGCGGGGATGGATTTTGATGCACGTCAGGGAATTTTAATGGGCGTACATCTGGCGGGAACAGAGCGGCCGACAGATGAAGCTGCGGAAGCACTGCTGAGCAGAGTCTATAGAGAGCAGAGACAGGTTAGCGAAGCTGCCACTAACTCCCTTGCAAAGGACTGAGATCACGGAAACGCGGAAACGCGGAAACCGAGAAAAAGCAAAACCAGGGAGGAACTTACCCGTGCAGGCTGTGCGGTTCTGGAGAACATTTTCGAGTGATTGGATATTTAAACAAAGAGATTGGGTGAGGTATGAATCGAAGTGAGAGGGGGTTGGAAAAGGGAAGCGTGAAAACGGGAGAAAAGGCTCCGGATGGGCTCGGCATCGAGCGACTTGTGGTTAGCGCCGGCCCGATCTTATCTGAATGGATCACTTGGGCTGGGCAGTATGTCCACTCCTACACTACCTACACTACCTACACGACACTAGACATACTACAGCTACAATGAAACAATGAAATCTCATATGAGCTTGGCATTCTTATTCACTTATTCCCCGGAACTAACTTTCTTTGGTCAATTCTTATTCAGATCCTCTTCTGGTCCTCGAATATCACATACCTCAGGTCAAGTGGTCAACTCGAACAAAAGAACATATCTACCATCTTAACTAATATACTCTAGTTCAATCCACTGGGCTTATCAGCCCATCTGTTTGTCAAAGCATTCCAAATTATGGCTTGCCCCGGACCCTCTATACGAGACAGAGTTCCTTATTGAGGAGGCAAGCTAAGGGTTGTCAATAAGAACCCTATTCACGGTGGATCAAACAGTGCCGATCTCGAGCAGTGCCTCTATTTGGGTTAATGTTCCTTGACAAAGAGCTCTATTCAGGACCGTGTCTCTATTCAGAGTAAAGGAATCTCCGAACTCCGGCCCAACATGCTCTTCTCAATAACGAGACTACTATTGAGCCAACGATGATCCTGATCTTTAAGAATATATAAACCTGGCTGTTCCTCGTTCTGCTTTCTTTTCTCCAGACATCTCCATCATCGAGCTATCTCAGTATCTGTCTTTCGCTCCTCAAACCAACTTTCAATTTCAAACCCCCGTTTCTCCTTCAACCATCAAGATGAAGTTCACCTCCGTCGTCATCGCGGTTCTCGCCGCTGGCACCGTCCAGGCTGCCGCTACTCCTCAAACAACTCTCCCCAAGTGGTGTGGCCACATCGGCCAGGGCTGCAAGCGGACCACCGATGCCTCCGTCGATGTCAAGCGCTCTGCCGATGCTCTCGCCGAGGCCATGGCCAAGAATCTGCCCCTTGTCCTTCAGAAGTGGTGTGGCCACATTGGCCAGGGCTGCTACAAGGCCAAGCGTGCCGCCGATGCCGTCGATGAGGTCAAGCGTACCGCCGACGCTCTCGCTTATGCCATGGCTGCCCTCGAGGAAGAGGAAGAGGAGTAAAGGTATGATACAGTTCCATCTATCCTGTGCATGGATTCAATTACTGACTTTTCCCAGTGTCTCCTATACAATGAATTCCGTGGTGCTGCAACATCGATAGAGATTGCTCGATAGCTCTCTTTTCAATTATCGATATGCACAACACCGTCGATTACTTTTCGGTATGAGAGCTTTTGGAAGCCAATTGGCATAGTTAAGATGGATTGGTTTATGAAATGCCAATGGCGAACACTCCTTTATATTCACCGTTGGTCATGCCCAGGTGGCATTGGTTTCTGATTAAATCAGCACTTGAATTGTGAGGGTTGATGGATCACTACGCAAATAAATATGTATCTAGAACCAAATAATTCCATCTCCTCTCAAATAACATTCCAAATCAGAATTCCAAAAGACAAAAAGTACCGGTTAACTCGGGTGACCTAAATTTGGTATATATCCCTTCGACCGAGGGAGTAATTGGATAGCTAATTGGTAAGTGTTTATGCTAGTTAGGGCATGTAGAGGCAAGGATAACAATAATATGATACTTACAAAAGAAATTCGTTCCAATAGATCTATTTTAACAGAACTAATGGTGGTATACACCACAGCTGGGGTAATATCGTCTCATCTCTTCAAATGCGCCATAGTTCGACTCCATCGGACCGGCTTTTGTCAACTCCCACCATTGCTGACCTTGATACACCGGGTCCTTTGAGCCAGCATATGATTCACCAGTGGTAGGCTCTTTCGGGATATGAGAGGCTTGATTGGCAACGTTCCCGTAGCCCGATACCATGTAGGGTTCAGCATCAGCATAGGCATTCCCATCTTCACTGTGGTCCATAGCAGAATCATGCATAGCAAAGTCCCCGGCAGTGGCGGCTTCATTCCCAAACTGCGAGTAGAGCCGCCATGTTTGAATCAATCGTTCTCTCTGTTCCGCTTCGGCGTTCTCGAAGAGCATAAGCTGGTCCGGGGTAAGGGCATTTGGATCAAGACCGTGATGTCTCAGAACATCAACGCTTGAAGGCTGGTTTGTGTGCTGGGGCTGGTTTGTGTGCTGGGCGACTCTGTGGGCCGAGTGGTGGTAGTGTTGGGTAATGCTGTATGCAATTTGTGGCGCTTGAGGTGGTACGACAGTTTCTCTAGGGGCGGGCTGCAGCTGTGTCATACTCATTTGTCTATCGAACAGAGCTGAAAGTTCGTCTTGCACTTTCGACTCGCCTTCGGAAGCAGACATGCCGCACTAGATATATATATGCCCCTGGGTCAGGTTCCTTGGCATAACATGTAAGAGCGAGCACCATCTACCTGTTTACAGTGAGGGTTCTCGATGAAGGCTGTGAGCGCATTTGAGATATCGGAGACGTGCCCGCAGTGCGGGCACTGATGTAGTATCGAGGAGGACATGGAGGGGTAGATTTCTGTATAGCTCGACGATATCCGAATGAATGGGAAAATGGGAAAATGGCAGAATCGATTCAGAAGTTTTTCCCTCTAAAACTGAATACGAGAAAGGATTCAGAGAGTTTGTGTCTTTTGTTTAGATCGAGGGGCAAAGATGCCCAAGTGCTTGCTCGGTTGGGCTGCAGTCCGAGGGCCAGTAGGAGATGCTCAAATGTTATACTGCATTTTATGCCTGTAATCGATCCATAATGGGTCCATATATGCCCACAGTGTGTTCGCGCTGTGTCCATGATACATCCAATACATCCAATACTACAAGGTACTGAAGTAGTACTCCAAAAACTTGTAGAGAAGACATACAAATCAAAGTACCAATTAGGTACCCCATGGTCATGTGACTGGAAGCTCTGCCAGGCAACCCCGTGACGCGACAGCGTCACTGCTTAGCCTAGGAACCTCCGTTATCATCCCCAGAGCTTCCAACCTCACCCTACCTATCCATAGTCTCCCTCCAAACCGGCCATTCTCCTCCCTTATCTGTCCAATACAGATTACCTCTTTCGATCCCCCGGCCTACCCACGGTGACGTCTATTGTCCTTGAACCTCACCGCATCGCATCCTCACCAAAATCATGGTCAGTCAGCTTCGGATCCACACAATGTACTATGCTGTATCCCGATCAAGCTAACAGAGTGATTATTTAGACGTCAATCGGCACAGGCTACGATCTCTCCAACTCGGTGTTCTCGCCAGACGGCCGGAATTTCCAGGTAACCAAACACAACCCAGCTCATGAATGAGCCACGGAACAGCTTCGGCTGACCATACCATCTAGGTTGAATATGCCGTCAAGGCAGTTGAGAACGGAGGTACCGCTATCGGCATCAGATGCAATGATGGTGTAGTGTTGGCAGTGGAGAAGATCATCACTAGCAAGCTCCTAAAGCCAGGCGCGAACAAGAGAATCGCAACAGTCGATCGCCATGTCGGAATTGTGAGACCTACTTCCCTTTCTCCCTGTCGCCTCTCCCCGACGAAATACGTTTTTATCAAAAGCATGCTACCAGGGAAGGCTTCAAGTATCCGTTGCTAATCTGTCTTCTTTCTACCACAGGTATCCGCTGGACTCGTCCCCGACGGCCGTCACTTTGTTTCCAGAGCTAGAGATGAAGCTTCCTCCTGGAGAGGCACATACAAAGGTCCCATTCCGACCGCTGCGCTGGCCAATCGCTTGGGTGGGTATGTTCAGGCCTACACTCTTTACTCCAGTGTACGGCCCTTCGGTGTAACTGCTATTGTTGGTGGCTGGGATACCGAGGCGGAGCTTCCAGTTGATGGACAGGTCGGCAATGGACCCAAGTCTGGCTCCGGTGGAAAGATCGAGGGTGCCAAGGCTGGAGGCCCTGGCCTATACATGATCGAGCCTAGTGGACTGTATTGGGTACGTTGCGACTTGTTTGCTGTGTGGGTGTTTGAATATGCTGACAAGTATTTATAGGGCTACTACGGTGCTGCTACTGGAAAGGGACGACAGGCCGCCAAAGCCGAACTCGAGAAACTAGACCTGACCTCGGGCAATCTGTCTTTGCTAGATGGCGTGAAGGAAGCTGCCCGCATTATCTATGTCTCCCACGAGGACAGCAAGGACAAGGACTTCGAGCTCGAGATGACGTGGATCAGCTCGGTCGACGGACCGACCAAGGGCCGCCACGAGGAAGTGCCCAAGGAGCTCCTCGAGGAAGCAGAGAAAGCAGCAAAGCGGTCTTTGGAAGGGGATGACGAAGAAGAGGAGGACAAGGGTCAAGGCGAACAGATGGAAGAGTAAACATGTAATAGATTATGCTCCCCAAGAATTATGGTTCTGTGAAAGATGTTCCCTTTCTTACTCCAAAAACAATCTCCCACAACGGACCAAGTTATGTTATTCAGGTTCCAAAAAGCCACACCAAATATATCAGAGGGTCCCATCGTAGCCCCCAGCCTCTCTTCCAAAGTACCTCTACAAAATCTTACCCTCAGCCCACTCCTTGCGCTTAAGACCCAATTCCACAGCCGCACTTCCCCAGTCCTCACCATGGTTATGCATATGACCATTCCCAAGCCCAGCACGCTCCAATCCCTGCTGCTCCGTCAAAACAGTAAGCAAGCCAAAGATAACAGGGACACCCGAATCAAGCTGCACACGCATGAGTCCCTGGCTGACGGCGTCGGCGATGTATTCGAAGTGCATGGTTGCGCCCTTGATGAGCACGCCGATGGCGATGATCGCATCGAAGGGTTTCTTCGGGCTGGCGAAGTTGGTCGAGCCGGATACTTCGGCTGTTGGCGAGGACAGGAGGTCCGTGGCGCTGGTGCCCTGCGTGGAGGAGGAGTTGGCCTGGAGCTGGGATGCGGCGTAGAGGCTGGATGTCAAGTAGTGTTAGTCAACGCTATCACGGGCAGATACAGCAAGCACACAGCACACAGCACTACAGCGCATAGTATACAGTATACTATAAAGTATGCAGTCGTATACAGTATACAATGTCATGTGTGAGATATCATCCCCGCACTCACCGTTGCACCGCAAGCGGCAGCTCGTAGCTACCAGGAACTGTCTGGACTGTGATGTTCTCCGGCAGCACGCCGGCAGCGAGCAAGTTCTTCTTCGCTCCCGATACCAGCTGGTCAATGATCACTGTGTTCCATCTGGCGTGCACGATCGCCACGCGGAGTCCGGAGCCTGTGGTGGAATCGGTATTAGCTGGGGGTGTTTCTCCAAGGGCTGTTGTTCGGTTTTACCATCGTGGGTCTGGGCTGCGCCGGGGCCTTTGATGGTAGTCATTTTTGTTGAGAGGGGCGTCCGAGAAAGATGATGTTGTTTCCTGAAGATTGGAAGAATTGAGCTTGACACAAGTGTTTAGGAATCAGAGCTCGAGGCTCGAGGGGCGAAATCCCTCGGTCCCGCATTTGGCGGGGGAAGGCGGAATGTCATCACCCACGGCAATTGAGCGCAATTGGCCTGTGGAATGCTTCTACGGTCAATTCGGTTTATAAAGCTGGACACTGATTCTTAACTAAAAAATACTAATAGGCATTGGATTCAAAGAAAGATGATTGAAAAAACAAAACGAGATTCCATTGTCCCGAAGCTGAAAACACCTAAAAATAAAAAGATGACCGGATCATAAGAATCGTCTAACCTTGCCCTAAAGAAACATTTACTCGACAGTGACCGACTTAGCCAGGTTACGAGGGAAATCGACATTCAATCCCTCGCCAACGGCAAGCCAGTAAGATATCAGCTGCAATGGGATCACATTGAGCAGACCCTGAAGACAATCCACAGTCTTGGGGACGTTGATCTTCTCGGTCAGGGCATCGGAGAACTCGGGGTCGTCTTCGTTGCAGATGACAATTGGGCGACCACCACGAGCAATGACCTGCTGGTAGGCGTTCAAGGACTTAGTGAAGAGTCTGTCACGGGTGAGGATCATGATAATGGGAAGGTTCTCGTCAACAAGAGCCAAAACACCGTGCTTCAGTTCGCCGGACATGACGGCCTCGCAGTGGAGGTATGAGATTTCCTTGATCTTCAAAGCACCCTCAAGAGCAGTGGGGAATTGAG